GCCTCCCAGGGGTTCCTGAACAATGTTGTTGTCTACTCCAGTGTTGTCTAAACATTTTCGCCTATTGTACCCTTTATAACCTTCTTGTACTGTTACGTACCCCCCCCCTCCCGTCCGCTATGGCTAAACGAACTGTTTTATATAGAATAATGTATATCATATACTAATTATGAAAAGGCTGCATTGCACAAATGAAAAATAGTTTTCATAGAACATATGATATGTGTGTGTGTGTGTGTGTGTGTGTGTGTGTGTGTGTGTGTGTGTGTGTGTGTGTGTGTGTGTGTGTGTGTGTGTGTGTGTGTGTGTGTGTTCCTTGTTTGTTCACGTACCCTTATGATCTATATTGCGTAACCCCAGGGGCACGCGGACCCCAGTTAAGACAACACTGGTCTACTCTATGTAGACCCCAGAAAGGTGTGCCTGAAAAATCACGAAATTAGTTTTCTACATATATAGGTTATTATCTGCCTTTTAGAAGTTGAATAGGATATGAAAGAATAATATTTACCCATAGGAATAGGTTCTCCTGTGGTGTAGACCCATTTTCCTTCTTCTGAATCGGAGCCACCCAGCCAAAAACTGAGCAGCTATATCTAATAAATACATGTTCATAAACCGGGAATCATCATATACCTATGGATTTTTTTATAATAAAAAAGTCTATCTTGTTCTTCATAAACAAATCTAGTTATACTCTGTGAACTCTCCTCGATTAATGAATGGGATTTATAGGTCCAGAAGTACCATTCACAACACTTTATCAAAGAATATCCATCAGCGAACCCACCTTCTTGATGCAAGGACAGTCTTGATTTCCCGAAGTCAAGTTGGTAAAATCCCAAAAGGGTTCCTCGTCTGACTCAGCTGCTGAATATGACATCATTAGTTATTTACAGTTTTGATTAGTTGTCGTTGGTGGCACGTGCAATGAGCTGATTAAGTGAGTTCATTAACACTACATGCAAATACAAGAAAGCATTTTTTACCATATGTAAAGTAGATTTGGAATCTTAAAATACATAATTGAAAATCATTTAATCTATGTAACTATAATATTTGGGTGTATAACTCTGTAGTCCAGGCTGTGATACATTGTTGCTCAACATGCTATCTGATACAGTTGCTCAATAAATCCCAAAAAGTGTCTCAACTTTTTCAAAATAGTTGCAATACATGATATCATACCTACGTCCAGACCAAGGTAATTTGTTGAGCAACATTCCGGCAACAAAGTATCTGAAAAGTCGCTCATCAGTTGAGCAACAATCCAAATTTGCTTCCCAGTTGTTGCTCGAGAGTTCCGAGGCACAATATTTCGTGTTTCTATTTCCCACTGGATATGGAAAACAAGATACGAAATCACAGGCCACACCACTCATCACCATCTGCCGGCCACTGGTCAGACGTCTGCTGACCTGTGCTCGGTTGTTGGGTTGTTTTGTGCGATCGAATACATTAAAATACACTTGCCAAGGGCTTATGGAATGTATGTTATATAACAGTTGAGATTGGATGCATACTGCGGACTAGTCATTGCATAAATGAGGAAGCGATGCATTAGCAGGAAAAAGCCTGATTAATTAGAAAAAAAAGTTTTCTTTTAGGAAAATGCGTTGACTAGTATAGCTGTGCTTGTAGAATAATAACAATAATGAAAAAAATATCTTGCGATGCATTACTTCTCATAGCTCAGTGCCGTCAGAAGCCTTCCCATTTCGTATTTTGAAAATAATCGGTATTTAACGTCAAGAAGCAATTAATTTTGCCACAATGTGTTTGTTTTTCCACAATATAGACATGACTTTGAGGACTTTCAATCGCAGCTAGAGCTTGTGACCCTCTACCATTCTCAGTATGTCCTCGAAAATTAAGAATAGACTATAGAAAAGTACAAGGTCACAAGCAGACTAAACTGACAAGCATCTTAATCTAGTAGCACTTTTATGCTCAGTAATCTAACTTTTGACATTACGCACTGTGTATGTTAAATATACAAATACCGGACCCCTGACGGCACTAGGCTATGCAAGTCGACATAGCTGCGTGAAAGGCTATTGTTCTCTGACAATACTACACTATGTGCCATTGAAGCTTTGTGAATGCAAGTTTCCTCCCAAGATTTTTGTTTTATGTTGTGACTTTAAGCATTTTTTTTTTCAAAATTTAGACAACAGAACAGATGTGCGACTGTTCAGTAATTGCCCCGAGACAGATACAAATTGATGCAAATGTTTCTGGAGTGTCTTACAACAATTACTGGATAATGTATACACTCGTGTTTCGCAACTGCTTCGCAACTGTTGCTAAAATGAGAAGCAACAAATTTGGATTGTTGCTCAGCTGTTGAGCAACTGCATCGAGACACTACAGACACACTGTTGTTCAAATGTTTCAGTTGTTTTGCTGCAGTTTATCTTGGTCTGGATTTGGCTTTAGTATAATGAATGTCCTTTCAGCTGTATTTCCGATCTGTGTTCATAGTACCATATTATCCTGTCTGGTTATATTTTAGAATTTCTCTTCCCTTCGACTTTTGCACTTGAATTAACATAACAATTTGTTCCACAGCCAAATAAAACCGCATTAGTGATGTTTGGTGGGACAAAAATGAGTTCATTGTCTATTTCTTACCTAAGAAGTTGCAGACAGCACTGTGAATATCAAAGCAACTGCGTCATGCTTATATTACATTCTGTTATCAGCTGTTTAGACTTCTGAGTTAGGAGATTCACATCACACTTTCCCGAAAAAAGAAAAATTGTGAACCTGGAGGGGCTGCTATGTAATATTTACTTCCATTTTTCCTATTTTGCTGTTTCTTTCCCAACATTTTCTCTTTCAATAATATAAGCGTATTTCTATACACATGCATATAACAATAATATATATATACATATATACATATAAAAATATACATATAAATATATATGTATACATTTATAAATACACGTGCACATACACGTACATATATACAAATTCTTATATAAAATTTCACTTTTGTCTTACCGTTGCTTGTAAAATCAATGCACGTAAAAGTAACAAAATAACATCAAAGGCATAACGAAGAATCATATTAATAGAGTCATGTGCAATATGCATTAAAAGGGTAGAATCAGAAGATATATTCTTTTTAATTATAATTTTCCTTTTATTTCTTGTCTCTCCGTACTACACTCTAACACATTCCAGTTCTAACGCATAAGGCTCTGATTATCCTTGGTAGACACACAGAGGGTTCAGTCTCGAGGAACAAGCCACATCCCGGAAATAGTGAGAACCCCGCGTACTGATCATCAGGCAGTTCTCACCATTTCCTCCTTGGGGTTCCTGAACAGAACTGCCTCCACGATATAGACCCCAGAAAGGTGTGCCTGAAAATAAAAGGAAAAGGTTGATTATCGAAAGCTTTTTGTTCTTCTCAGCTTTCTCCCATTTTTATATGGGGTCGCCATTATGGATGAACCGCTCTGTTGCAGTTCATTCCATATATTGGTTTTGGCATGGGTTTTTACAGGAGGATGACCTTCCAGCACCAACCCTCTCTATTTATCCGGGCTTGGGACCGGCACCCACAGAGGCTGGCTTGCCTCCCAGGTGGCAAAAGGTTAAGTATCTAAATATCCAAGTTTATTCTTAGGTGTTGTGTAAATATCTAAATTTATTGTCAGGAGTTCCTGTGGGTGGTTTCTGTGCATGAGAAAGTGGAGGACTTTCATAGAATGAGAAAATTGAGAGTGAAAAAGGAATATGTACTTTGGAAGTAAGCTGACCCATCTGTTGTTAATGGCGTGTGTGTGTGTGTGTGTTTAATATCCACTGTGCTTTGGCGTATGTTGTTAGTCTTTACGCAAGTACTTACTCATCAAAAAGTCAGTTACTAGTCCTACCCATTGCACTTGTTTACCTTTTCCCTTGGTTTTTGGTTGGTAAGATTCTTCTTATTTTGTTTTCACAGATAATATCACTAATGACATTATAATAATTTTGATATCAGTAATACCAATATCTACATCAATAACACTAGCACTATATAGAAACTTTTTCCCGAAAACTCGAGAATATATTAGGTAAGATCATACAAGTTTACTAATTGTTTCCTTGGCTCAGCACTTTTGTTTAAAGCCATCTATGTACAAAAAATCTACAAAAGAAAACAAATCCACGGTGTGATTATTCAGTAATGGGTTAATAAGATGAAAATTTAATGAAAAATGAATAAAAACTTGAAAAGAGGTTAAGAATCGGGTAAACTTACCCATTGGGACAGACTCTCCTGTGGTGTAGACCCAATGCCCTTCAGTGGAATCGGAACCTCCCAGCCAGAAACTATGGGCTGCTATATCTGATGAATACACGTCCTTTAGCCGGGAATCATTACAGACCTGCTATGGTACTGGCAATAATTCAATGTAGAAAATAGGTGGATAGGTGTTCGTTATAAGCAAATCTACTTATATTTTATACACTCTCCTTAACTAATGAGTATGATTAATACCAATCAGCAAACCCACTTTCTTGATGCAAGTAGAGGTACACAGCTCGCAATACTTCCGCGTCAGTGATCGCCAGGAGGTCGCTAAAATCGCCGCAGGATTGTTGAGCCTCATGCCAGGTCAGCTCTTCCCATGTCAGGAACATAAGGCAGAGACCCCCAACCTCCACGTAAAAGGTTGGACACTGGCCACTGCTCTCTTCAGTTTCAGGTGCCTGCAGAACCTCAGCACTGTGGTTTTGGGGAATCTGACGACAATGTTTGAGTTGAATATGCACCTCTTTATATGACGAACAGATTATTATACCTGTCTGATACAAAAGGATTGTACAAATATGTTACTTCACCTTCTTGCTTTTGATTCTTATACTGGCATATGAAGTTGTTCTCCTTCGAGCACGGAACATCGTTCATGTAGTAATACTCCTGAGCACCAATCTCTAGACAGTGTTCATTTCCTTCGGAGTTATTAGGTTCTTGGAAATCTTGGAAAGCCGCCCAGAAGGGAGTTCCTCGGGGTACTGGATCACCAGAGGAAGTCACCCAGCTGCCTTCCGCCTGCGCATCTGACCCGTCCAGCCAGAAGTGACGTCCATCGTAACCTTTGCGCCGCGAAAGATTGAACATCTCCAGAGATAAATAGCAGATTGATAAGAATGACTGAATATCAGATTGACCCAAAATACTATGATACAAGAGGTGACTAATTCTCACCGTAAGCATAGATATGATTTACAACTTCCACAAACTGCGAAGGCGTAGTAATGGCTAGCAACTCTCCCGAAGCAGAGTGACACACTTGTCTCGCGCCGCTGTGGCTCTCTTGAGCGAAGGTAATGAACATGAGGCACTGGCTCCCCACGAGAGTGTATCCCTCAGGACAGCCCTCATTTCCCGAAGTCAAGTTGGCAAAACCCCAAAAGGGTTCCTCACTTGACTCAACTGTGGGATATGTCTTCATTAGATGAAAACCCAACTCTTATTTGCAATTAGTAAAAGTTGGGCACTTAACATGTTAATCAACACTCTCTTTACACTTTTGATTAGCTGCTGTCTATAGCGACATGTGTAATGAGCGGTTTAAGTGAGTTCAAAAACACTACATGCAAATACAGGAAAGCATCTTTTACTAAGGAAGATTTGGAGTCTTCCAATCCATAATTGATGAATCATCTCACCTGGAATAAAACATAAGGCAAGGACCGACGCCAAATACCGAAACGTCTTATTTGCAGTAAACATACTGGTGGATCTGAAATGAACGGGATAATTACATGTGCGATAAATGATTGTGTGGGTTCATGGTTACTCGTATTGAAAATGGGAACACTTTTTTATTATTTGATATAAATATATTTGTGTGATTGATTCTAAAACCTAGTCCAGACCAAGTTACATTTTTGCTCAACACTGTATCTGATACAGTTGCTCAACAAATTCATTTCAAAATATAGACAACAGATGTGCGACTGTTCAGTGACCGTCGCAAAACAATTACAAAATACAAATTGGTGCAAGTGTTTCTGAAGTGTCTCACAACAGGCGCTGGATAATGTATACGCTCGCATTTCGCAACTGCTTCACAACAGTTGCTAAAATTACTAGCAAAAAAAATAGGATTGTTGCTCAGCTGTTGAGCAACTGCATCAAGAGATTACACAGATACATTATTGTTCAACTGTTTCGCTGCAGTGTATCTTGGTCTGAATGTTGTCCTTTCAGCTGCATTTTCGATCAGTGTATTGTTCACAGTACCATATTATCCTGTCTGGTTATGATATTTTAAAATTTCTCTTCCGTTCAACTTTTGCACTTGCACCCATTAACATTAGGTTCGTGCCATAGCCCAAATAAAACCCCATTAGTGATCTTGAACAAAATATGTTTGGTGTGACAAATGGAGTGACAAAATAAGTTCCTAGTCTATTTCTTACCTAAGAAGTTGCAGAGCGAAATATACATAGCATGGCAACTGTGACATGCTTATATTGCATTCTGTTATCAGCTGTTTAGACCTGAGTTAGGCGTTTCCCATCATATTCTCCCCAAAGAAAGAAAAACTGAGAAAGTGCAGGTGCTGCTATGTGAAATTTACTTACATTTTTCCTATTATGCCGTTTTCTTTCCAAGCATTTTCTCTATCAATAATATATGCGCATTTATATACACATGCACACAATAATAATAATATATATATATATATATATATATATATATATATATATATAATATATATATATAAATATATATATATATACATATACATATAAAATATATGTATATATATGTATAAACATATAAATACATGTACACACAGACACACACACACACATGCACATACATACAAATTCTTATATAAAATTTCACTTTTGTCTCACCCGTTGCTTGTAAAATCTAAATAACATCAAAGGCATAACGAAGAATCATATTAATAGAGTCATTTGCAATTTGCATTAAAAGGGTAGAATCAGAAGATATATTCTTTTCAATTATAATTTTCCTTTTATTTCTTATCTTTGTATTTTTCCCCCAATTTTGCTGTTTTTTTTTCCAAGCATTTTCTCTGTCAATAATATTAGCGAATTTCTATACACATATAACAATATATAATATATATATATATATATATATATATATATATATATATATATATACATATTATATATAATATATATATTATATATATATATATATATATATATATATATATATATATATATGTAGAAAGGGTATGAATAAGTCTGGATATCTTCACCATACAAACGATGTATTTGATCGGTTTCGATTATGTCAGAAATACATGTATTTCTGATGAAGACGTAATCGAAACCGGTCAAATACATCTCTTGTATTGTGAAGATATCCAGTCTCATTCATACCTTTTCTACATTTGTCAACATGGATACGTTTCTTATACATCCATACATACTTGTACGAGATGTGAATGTGTGTGTTTTCATATATATATATATATATGTGTGTGTGTGTGTGTGTGTGTGTGTGTGTGTGTGTGTATGTGTGTGTGTGTGTGTGTGTGTGTGTGTGTGTGTGTTGTGTGTGTGTGTGTGTGTGTGTGTGTGGTGTGTGTGTGTGGTGTGTGTGTGTGTGTGTGTGTGTGTGCGCGGCGCCGCGCGTGTGTGTAGGTATATGTATATATGTGTGTGTGAGAGAGAGAGAGAGAAAGAGTGAGTAAGTGGGAGAGAGGGGGAGCAAGAGGGAGGAGGGAGGAAGCTATATTGACACAAATAAGGGAAGAACAAGAGAGAGAGAGAACAAAAGAGTGTTGTGCATGGCTTAGCAACTGTATCATGCGAGTACTTCATTCTCTTATCGGGTTTTTAGACTCTTGTTCTCAACTGTAATCTCCCGAAATAGAAACAGTGAGAAGAGCTTATCGCGTTGGCACGACGTAAGCCGCTTAGGATAGTATGACTGGCACTGCTTATTGCTTATTGACCGCTAGAGAGAGAGAAGAGAGAGAGACAGAGAAGAGAGAGAGAGGGGGGGGGGGGGAGAGGATAGGGAGAGAGGAGAGAGAGAGAGAGAGAGAGAGAGAGAGAGAGAGAGAGAGAGAGGAGAGAGAGAGAGAAGAGAGAGAGAGAGAGAGAGAGACAGAGAGAGAGAAGAGAGAGGGGGGGGGGGAGAGGGATAGGGAGAGAGAGAGAGAGAGAGAGAGAGAGAGAGAGAGAGAGAGAGAGAGAGAGAAGAAGAGAGAGAGAGAGAGAGAGAGAGAGGAGGGGAGGGGGGGGGGGGGAGAGAGAAGAGAGAAGAGGAGAGAGAGAAAGAAAGAAAGAAAAGAAGAAAAAGAAAGAAGAAAGAGAGAGGAGGAGAGAGAGAGAGAGAGAGAGAGAGAGAGAGAGAGAAGAGAGAGAGAGAGGAGAGAAGAGAGGAGA